TAAAAAATGATGTAATACATGTTAATATCCATATGGATGGTATCAATCCTTCATTGTCTACTTTGGTCAAGGCAATTGTGAAGTTTATTTTCCAAACGTCAACAAGGATACAATAAAGACATTGAGAGAGCATTCAACATATGTGGCAAATCTGGATCAGACCCATTGACCCGACTCGAACCCGCCGGAATAATAGAATATGGGTTGAGATTTTTATAATCCAAAACCCGAATGACCTAAACTAGATTAACCCATAATTTTTGGGTCGGGTAAGGTTGGTTTGTGGGTCGACCCGCCAGATCCATTCCATTTGGTAAGATGTTTAAGAAAATTCGTAAGGATTTGAAATACAAGTTTGGTGTGCCACTCTAATCACTCATAAATTGGTAAGATGTTTAAGAAAATTCGTAAGGATTTGAAATACAAGTTTGGTGTGCAAATGTAATTAAACATTATTTGTTTATTGTAGTAGTATTACTTTCGTTATTTTTTTTTTTTTTTGACGATTTGTGCGTTCGTATTTCTTTTCAATAGCATGAAAGGAGTTGAGCATTTGTTAATTGAAATGTGTTAGGTAAATTACTGTCACACATATGTAAAAATTTGTATTCCTTAAAAATTTATGAAGCATGTTTGATATTGTTTCTAAGAACGCTCATAACCCGAAATGACCCGAAACCCGACCCGAACTGGATGAATTGGGTCAAATACCAACCCAACATGACCCGACCCATGACAACGCGAGATTCCCAACCCGAAATTACCCAACCTGACCCGATTTCCAGGTCTAGCAATTATACATAATCATGCTCGATCTTGGGATCTTCCAACGTTGAGGAATACAATGCTAACTTGCATTATTTGACATAATAAGATAGTTGATGATGAACAACCTATTGAGTTTGAAGAGATGCATGGCAATATAGATTATCAATATGTCGAGACAAACTTGAGTAGAAACATACAGGTCGACACTACAAAAATATTTGGCTCGAAATACATCGATTTGTGATGTTGATGAACATAAAAGACTGAAGAAAGATTTAATTGGGCATCTTTAGAAAGGCAACCGGACATGAATAGTGAGGTGACTTCATATTTGAGTGCGATTCTTTTCCAATGGGAACTAGACATATGTTCATATATGATATACCCATGTGCTTGGGGTTTAACAATGTTTCATGTTTGAGTTGTGTTCAAATATGTTTTCACTTTTTACTAATAAAAATTCAACTCTTGTTCACTTGGAAAGTAGAAATGCACATTGAAGCTAGAAATTTGTAATACAAGGGTGGAATTCAAATGCAAGTTAGGGGTTGTTTGGAAGTTGTGATTTCAAATGGTGTATTGAGCCAATGTATGTATTTGTGAGATTAAGTCGTGTTTTTGGCTTATATTGAACTAGAATACAAACATTAACTTTTTGGAGGTCCCACCACAATCACTCATATTCGAGGGATTATCAATCTCTACTTTTTGTTGAGATTCTTTACAATCACTCAAAATTGACTTTTGTGGCTTTACAACAAACCACAATCTAAACTAGAAATAAAAAACCTCCAAACAAAATATTTTTCTAATACATCAATTGATTCAATACATTAATTGACTCAATACATCAATTTGAAGAATCACAATTTCCAAACGACCCCTTAGTACATTGAATGAGATAACTCAAGCTAGAAATTCAAATGATTAATAACTTACTTGATACTTGCAATAAGATAAATAACTCAAAGTTCATTTAATTATTGTTTAATATCTCACAAAATTATTGAACTATCATGAAGATTGTATTTGTAGATGATGTAATTTCCCGAATTTGATATTGAACACTTATCTTCGTCTAATTACAACATACTTTCTTATCATTTCTAACATTCAACACTTTTTTTAGTATAATTGGTTCACCCAAATTAAACATACTAGAACGGAAGCCCGCGCTACGCGGCGGGGCGTGAAATTATTGCAATAGGAATATTGATCAAATGACAAACTGCTAACACATTCTTCGTTCTTGAATTAAAATTACAACACAACTTAAACATTAATGTGAGGGATGCACATAGAGATGACAATTGAAACCCAAAAGGCAAGATTGATGGATAGAGATAAATGTAGCATCATTGGAAGTTGAGAGTCTAAACACCATATGGTACACATGGCAAGGCCTCACGATCAAAAGTGAGTAAAGGGGTAGCTAATTTAGACTAACAACATAGCAGTGGTTTAAAAGTTTGTGTGTGCTAGATTGTGGAGATGCGAATGCATGTGTGGTTCATCATAGTGTGGGCTCGCAATGTATATTTATTGCCATAAATTGTCTGCCGCATCGATCTCTGAGGCATTGTTTTTGCTGCTGTTGCGACAACGATTCAAACTCTTTAGGTGCCAGACAAACCAGAGCAAGGTTTGCTTCATGGTTCGTAGTGACTTTTAATTTTCGACATCCGGATTCACATTAAGCATGCAATTTGTAGAATAATCTGGTGGAATGAAAAAAAATATATACATGAGCAAACAAACTACAGTGTACACAACAATACAGAGTACATAGGTGAAGAATGTCAAACGCAATTAGCTTCATTAGGGAAAATGAAAAGCTAGCTTATAGGGATCAAAAGAACATATCGATGCAAAGTGCTAAAAAAACTTTCATCTTTTTCCATGACCCGCCGCTTCCCTCTCATCAGATGGTGATGTCGTCTTACCCTAGTAGCGCTTGCCATTATAGAAAAGGGAGCTCAACGGACCCTCTCCGAAGTGGCTTGATCTGAGTTGGGTTTGTGGATTAGAGGAAAGGAGAAAGAATAGAGACAACTCACATAGAAAGTGAAAATGCTGTACAATTTTTGACATTATAGGGTGACTCAAGGATCCATGGGTTCGAACGACCCACCCATGGATTTGAATCGTAGTAACCAATAGAAAACAACATAAGAGGGAAATCAATTAGCATCATTAGAGAAAATGAAAAATCTTGATATTATAGACGACAAAAAACATACCGATGCAAAACAAAAAAAATTCCTTCATTATCACTCTACAGAGGGCAACTAATACAAATGTTGAAGTCATTCTAACAGATATGCTTCTCATCGAGACATCAAATACATGACCCTAGTTTCTACTTTATAGCAAGCATTATTGATTAAAAAGTCAAACCGTAATTGCATTTTTTGGTCCTTAAATTTGTGGAAAATAACAAAATAATCACCCGTTTGATGTGACTCTAAGTAACAATACCGTTTTTACTTGTTCTTTTAAGAAGAACTGACCCAAAACCCCTAAACACTGGATTCAATTCTCTTTGACCGGTTTGATAAAGTGGGGCAAGTTTTTGACAAAATCCACACCCGATCTAATCCGTTAATTACAAAAGCGGATAAAATTCGTTCTAGACCTAAAATTCGGCAACACTGATAGCGGGTAGAATTACAAAAGCGGGTAAATTTATCCCCGACCCAAAAATCGTCAACACAGTTTCAACTCGCTTTGTAAGGGTTGAATTAGATTGAAAAGGCAGGTAAAATTCGTTCTCGATCCAATTCAATGATTACAAAAGTGGATAAAATTCATTCACGCTCCCAAGAGTAGCAAGGGTAAAACTCGTCCTCGACCCAAAAATCGTCAACATTGGATTAAACTCGATATAGTGCGGCGAGTTTTTAACAAAATCCACACCTGACCCAATTTGTTAATTACAAAAGCGGGTAAAATTCGTTCTCGGCCTACAATTCGGCAACATCGATACAAGGACGGAAAAAGCGGGTAAATGGGTTCTCGACCCAATTCAATGATTATAAAAGTGGATAAAATTCATTCACTCCCAGTGTCAAGGGCAAAACTCGTACTCGACCCAAAATTTGTCAACACTGGATTCAACTCGATAAAGCAGGGCGACTTTTTAACAAAATCCACAACCGACCCAATTCGTTAATAACAAAAGCGGGTAAAATTCGTTCCCGGACTAAAATTCGGCAACCCCGATACCAAGTCGAATTAGATTGAACACACATGAATTTGGGTTCAATTGTCATAAGAGGATATATTTAAAATATTTGATTAATGATCCAATTCGTTAATTACAAAAGTGGGTAGAATTCGTTCCCGGTCTAAAATTTGGCAACACCGATATGTGGTTGGAAAAGGCGGGTATAATGCGTTCTCGACCCAATTCAATGATTACAAAAGTGAATAAAATTCATTCATAACCCTAAAATTCGTTACTGGCCTAAAATTTGGCAACACCGATACCGGGTTGGAAAAGGCGGGTATAATGCGTTCTCGACCCAATTCAATGATTACAAAAGTGGATACATTTTTTGGGTTCAATTTTCACTAGAAGAAATATTCTAAACATTTGATTAATGACCCAATTCGTTAATTACAAAAGCGGGTAGAATTCGTTCCCCGTCTAAAATTTGGCAACACCGATATCGGGTTGGAAAAGGCAGGTATAATGCGTTCTCGACCAAATCTAATGATTATAAAAGTGGATAAAATTCATTCATAACCCTAAAAGTCCCTAAACTCGTTGCTGTCGCAAAATTGCACACGCGACCCAATCTTTGACACCGAATTCAACTCGCTTAACAAAATAAAAGGAAATAAAATTAAAACTCGTTCCCGATCCAAAAAATACAAATTAAAATATTTGATTAATGACCCAATCGTTGCCCTCGCTAAATTGCACACCCGACCCAATCGTTGACATCGAGTTCAACTCGTTTAACAAAATAAAAGGAAATAAAATTAAAACTCGTTCCCGACCCAAAAAAACCAAAAAAATATTAGGCTCAAACGGGGTTGAATTAGTTTGAATCCATTTGAAAAGAAAATAAATTAGTATAGTGAAATAACTCAAAAAGTCCCTAAACTTATGATTAATTATAAATAGTCACATGTGTCAAGATGAATAAAATTATAAAAGGACTACTCCTTGAATGTGACTTTAAGAAATAGTAAAGAAATTGCTAACTTACAACAAAAGTAATGACATTTTGATTGTTGAACTGGAAAGTAACATATAAATGAAGTTGAATCTATAGATTAAAATTGAAACCAACGCTGAAGTAACAACTTAAGATGAGCCTATATATCAATACAAAGTTTTACAAGCTTACAAACCAACTGAGAATTTGGTTGGCTTTCTAAAAAAGGAGGATAAAACGTGTATGGGCTACCATGAATCCTTTTAACAACTTTCATCCAATCATTTATCCACCCACCCTCATAGGCCACAACACCAGTTAAAAAAAAGAATCAACAATGTGACCTCGAGCTGAGGTCTCGTTATATCAATTTCACAAATGGTACAATCCACACTCCCTACTCTTTACTCAATCTCGATCTGCCTCAAATCCCAACTTTCACCCCCGACAATAAATTACCAGAACCTCTGGATCGTGTTTTTTTTCTTTACATCGGCCGTGTGTGCCGGCCGGCAGCTCTGCCGCAAAGGAGTGCATTCTTGGGGATTGGGTACTCGTCCCTCAGTGAAGTCGACGTTGTGAAAACCCTCAAATAGAACTGCTGACCGAGGTACTGTCTCGCCCAGTACTCTGACCTCAAGTTCCACATTCCAACGTTGTCTAGAGCAATGTAGATTGCAGTCCATGACTTGGGATACACCTGCAAAATCCAAACATCCGTCGAATAACCCGTTAAAACATTGAAAACTTCAAACATGTTAGCTCGAATCAATTCAACAACGCATTTAACACGATTCAGTGTAAATCGATCCTGATATGTGGTCAGCCTTTCATAGAATCCAACGGGACTCAAACAGAAAAAGTAACGAATTCAATCATGGAATACAAATCAAATAAAATTGCGTATGTTTCTATTAGACTTAGCTATGGCAGTAGTAACTAAGAAACTAGGAACATTGAATTGAAAAGTTACCTGTGTGGTGGATCTCGAAACCGCATCCCTCAGATTGTACTGGTTCCTGCTGGCAGTCGTCCACTGCCCGCCATCCAAACTGCACGCATTAAGTTCCCCAACTTGGTCACAACCAAAACCAACGATACAGCCCACAAACCAAGGAAAAATTACAGAACTTGATCATTTAATAACCAGGCTACGAGAACAGATGATCAAATGAACTCACCCAACGACCCAGAAGCTGTAACCATCTAGATGCCAGCTCTGCACAATATCCTCGTTGTTCTGGAACACGATTTCGATGAATGTTCTGTAGTCAGTGGTGAGAACGGAGGTGTCGAGGTAGATGCCCCCGCCCGTGGGCCTAGAGGAGATGCTGTTCTCCTTGAAAACCCCCTGGATTTTGAAGTAGTCTGCAAGCTTCAAAGGAGTGTCTGCTGGAATAAACGACACGCTGTTGACCGCGTATCTCTGCTTGCGGTTCACTTGACCAGCTGAGTTGGCTAGAACGATGCTCCTCGTCAAGTTGATCATGCCGTAGTGGTAAGAGCCCTGTGGGTTCGGCCTCGGCCCACTTGCCGTCAGATTAGTCCTGAAAAAAAAAATAAGATGGTTGTTATTTGCCGTCCATCAAATTACTATTTGCGGTTCACAACTTATATGAAAAAGTCAATTTTGCCATTTTTTAGAGAAATATATTTTAGTGAATCAAAATTCCAGTAACACAGATTTTTAGACCAATGGCAAAAAAGTACAAATATTTCCTGCACCAAAGCATTACCTGATGGAGCGGGCCTGGTTGAGGGACCAGTCGACCTGATCGGTCGGGCCACCGGGAGGTGGGCCAGAAACTGGGCCGGCGGAGTTGCTGTAGTGCAGAACACCAGTAGTGGTGAGGATCGGAGTTGTCCATCGGGAAGACACCACGATGTAATAGTCTTGCCCTGGCTGGTCGGCGGTGAACAAAACGGAGTAAGATTGGCCGAGGTGGACGTCAAGAGAAGAGTAAGTTGTCTGGAGAGTGTGCGTTCCTTCCACTTCGACCAGCTTCATCTTGTGGTTTTGGATGCGGAAGTTGACCGAATTCTGTAGCCCAACGTTGGATATCCTGAGTCTATAGGTCTTGCCTGGTAAAAGAAGAACAAACAATGGTCTGACTTAGCTCCAATTCAATACTTCATAATACAGTTTCGGGAACATTAAGGTATCGTTTGCTTGTGGAATTTGGGTGATGAATTTGTCACTCAAATCTCAAATGTCATGGAACATACATAAATTTATTGTTTGCCTTCATAAATCAGTGGAGCCCACGGACTTGGACATATTTTAGATCCAAATCCGTGAACCCCATGAATTTGCAAATCCCATATTTTATTTGGAATTTATAAATAAAAGCAAAAATGTTAGACAAATTCATGATAAAAATCAACTAAATAAACAAATCCATAATAAATTCAAAGGTTTTTGAAACTCAAAAATCAAAACCTTTATTTTCAAATCTAACAAGCAAGAAAGAAAAATCGAAAGATAGTTTTTACTCTTCATTTTCATTTCTTACCTTGCTCGACCGTGAGGGCGTAGCCAGATCCACGACCATTGATGAGGATGCCATCTGCCAGAGGCAACTTGTGGCCTCCATCCAATCGGGCTCTCAAGTCCTACAAATTCCACAATTCCAAGAAATCAACTTCTACCCTCAAATTAACCTTAAATTTATTTCATTTCTATGTTATTAAATATCCGAACAATGCATCCTAAAAAGAAATATGTAATTCCATTTCTTGGTTCCAAGCACGGTCTGAGAAAATGACACAATAACTGTCCTTCCCACACTGTGAAACTTTTTCAAAGGCACAACAATCCAAATAGCTGCCGACGAGGAAGCTCAATACTGCCCACAGAAGGAAACAAATTAAAGATTATGATGAGATCGTTAATAAATGAATTTACCGTGTGATTGGACTTGTACCAATCTCCGATGAGAATGGTGTAGTCGCCGGCGGGGTCAGCGAAAGGCACCGGAATCCCGGGACGGCTGAGGATTCTGATCCCGCCGAACCCACCAGCGGCCTTGTGGAAGGCAAGCGAAGGGAAGTAGTAGAAGCTGCCAATCTGATCCTTGGCTTGGAGAATGTAGGTGTAATTCTTGCCCGGCGGGATGGGACACGTGGTGCCGTAGACACCATCCACGAATGAGTTTCTCCTCTGCTGCATCCCATTCCTATATTAAACCAATTAAGCAACCATATAAGCTAATCTACTTATTTAGCCCATAATAAGTTCCCATCTCAACAGTACCGGCAATAAATTGGAATGGGTGTTTTAGTTGTCAATTAATTCTCCGCCTTCATTAATGGCGGTGGAGTTAGAAGGAATAGCAGGGCAGGGGAGGAAATGAAAAGAAAACAGAAAATAGTAAATGAATGTTGAGAGTTTCCGGTTATGGGTTTTCTTTTCCAGCTACGGAGCTACCAGTATGAGCTGGCTGGCTGGTGTGCTGAAAATGGAAGACAGCAAGAAATAGATCTAGACGGAATTCCCCAACTAATTGCGGCACTGTTAAGAAATCCGAAAAAGACTGAAAGAAACAGATTACTTAATTGGCCGACTCCAGAAAAGGGAAAGTCGTTACGGGAGTGAATAGGATTATAGGAGTTCACTGGACCAACAACTAAACCAAGTTAAAAAATAATTATTAAGTGTATCAGTTCCGTAGCTTGAAAGGGGGTAATCAAAGCATATTAGACAAGATCTTGATGCTTTGGATCAATGTCGATCACTGATTAAATTGTGTAATTAAGAAGACGACAAGCAAACATTCCCATCACTTTTCCCCAACTTTTTTAATTCATTTCGCAGAAAGTGACATCAATGGATGGGTGGAGGCAAGCTGGGCAGTGAGACACATGAGTTCAATTTTACACATGGGGGCATGGGGGAGATGTTTGCTTTGCTTACTCAACTCAAGCTGCCTCTGCCATGGCCGCAAGAATCGCAAGAAAAACCAGCGGCCATTGGCGAAGGGTTTTAATGAGCTAAACAATTCCAGATCTGAGCGCTTTTCCTCGAAATTGTGAACTCCTCTCAATAACTCAAATATCAGATTTGGGGGGTTCCCGATGGAGGAGGAAGAAACAAAACGGTTCAGAACTCTTTTCTCCTGCTTCCCCGATACGGAAAGTTCACGGGAAAGCAAGCAAAAAAGAGAAAGATTCCGGAACAGAGTGGGTGAACGAGAAGAAAGCAGTGCACAGGGTTTAGGTTTACCAAGAGAGGAGGAAAGGCTCGTTCAAGCTGTTGTGCACATTGATGATGAGATTGTCGTTGGTGACGCAGTGGATATCCGGCCCCGGGAACGCGCCGTCGATCAGGATCCCCTGTTTTTTTACAGGTCAGTCACACAAAAACCGTAGGAAAATGATAATCAGAGCAAGTTCATGATCACAGGAAGAAAGATATTCAATCAGGAGGATTTACGCACTCGTTGGCGGACGCCGAGCGGGTAAATGTCGCCGTAGGTGACGTTCCAATCGAAGAAGCGGTATGGAGACTCGGCTGCGACGATGGCGAGAAGAGACACGGCGGCTAAGAGGAGAACAGAGGAAGGCGGAGATCCAGCTGATTCCCGAGTCATTCTCGCTCGGAGGGGGAATGAGAGTGTGGTTGGGGAATTTTGTATAGTGTGAGATTGTGGGAGACGAGAAAATGAGGGGAAGAAGGAAGGAGAAATGACTTTTTTTTTTTTTTTTTGTTGGGCCGAGGGGAATGGAATGACGGAGGCGGGGGATGGCGCGGTATTTAAGTGCGGTACAGACTACCAGAGGGATGTGTGTGCCGCGGAGAAGAGAGGGAAATTTCTCTTCCTTCTATTTTTATTTTATTTTACTTATTGACACGGAATCTAGATAATAAATAAAAGCCGAATGATGAAAACTGTTGCTCCATTTCAAATTTCCTGCAACGAGAGTGATTATAGGAAGGACATTTTGGTCTTCACAATTGCTTATTTTCTTATTTATTTATTCATAAAAAAGGCATGCACCGGGATTTGAACCTTGGTCTCTTTAAAGGCAAGCAAAGATCATAACCAATCACACTAAGTATATTTATTGTATCTATTTAAATTCAAACATACACGAACCTAAATTATGAAAATCATATGACTTTTTTAACGATTAGTTGGCCACTGAATCTCCCGTAAGTACTTATTTGGTGTTTTAATACTTTAATTATTTTAGTTGTAGTTTAATACTTAATTTAAATTTCTATCTATTTTATAAATATACAATAACCCTAAAATTGCAGCCCAAATATCACTGGTTCGAATATTGCATATCGAATTGCAATATTAAACATGTAGAAGCAATATCGACTTCTTAAATTAATATTATTTTTCAGAATTACTATGGAGAAATTATATCTTTGTGCAAACTATATGAGACTGGTTCTTTTAATGTTTTAGTCGGGATAACCGCTACATTTTAAACTTCTTCATAATCTGGCATGATTGCATCCAATGATCATTATACAAGATTGTGTTTAATAGGGTGGCTCATTTCACCACTTTTTGACGTGTTAATGAATTTGTAGGACAATGACAGGTCTACATCTACACTCATCACAATCTACACATCATATAAATGTGAAATGTGAAATGAGAAAAGAGGGATTCCATTTCAAATTTGATGCGTACAGAGCAATTTTTTAGGGGTAAATTTAGAAGATGCCAGTGCGGTCGGTCTGTTGAGCACGAAAGTAAAAATATGTTTTCATTTAAACGGGCCCAAACTGTTATTTGGCCCACTAATCGTGCACCCATCGCCAATGCAGTCAAATTCGGGATTTTGATCGTAAAATCGTAGGATTTTAGGATTTTACTTAGGGATTCCGATCTTGATTTTACTATAAAATCGGTGGACCTTAAAATCGTTTAAAATCGGGACTAAAATCGTTAAAATCGTAAAATAGTACCGAAATCGGGATTTTGATCGTAAGAGAACAAAATAGGTGGTTTGAGCCAATTTAAAATAAGTATAACTGTTTCAGCGGAAAGGGCAATGGAATCTTCTTAGATATTTTTCTATTAGAAAAATATTCAAAAATAATAAAAATAACCAAATTAGGGTTCGGTTAATCTCTTTCCCTTCACCCCATTTAACTTATTGGTAAAACACTTGTCCTAATATTGGAAGTATGTAAGAACTAACATCATTATTAACTAATTAATTTATTAATGAATATATTTGTACCAAGCCACTAACATTACTTATTTTATTGGAGTTCAATTATTTTTAGTTTTAAATCATACTTAGTAGACGATGTCGAAATATTACTTTGAGTTAAACAACTTAGGCATAACATGAAAATAAGAGCCAAACCCATGAACTATATCCCTTCATCATGAATTATTTTGAGTTACACATTAAATAACAATTAAAATAGTGATTTTGGAACATTAATCTTGAGAATTATCTTATGGAAAAAAAATCTTCCGAATTATCATTTTAAATGCTATGTGTCTTTGTGATATTAATAATTTACCTTATTAATATTCTTATATGCTATGTTCTATATGGTACTTAAAATCCTACGATTTTCCGATTCGATTATACGATTTTGATTTTACCCCAGTTTTCGATTTTAGGTAAAATCTCGATTTTAACTGCTTTGCCCATCGCAGCCTCTCCAAATCTTCCTACTCTACTCGCCGGGTCATCTCCTCCACTACAAAATATCTCCTCATGCACTCAAAGTTCTCACTGAAACCTAATATCTACAACTTAGGCGCAGAGGGAGCAACCGATGGATTGTAGCGACCCCCACTATTTTGATAGCTAATCAAGAAGAGCGCGTTTGTTTAGTTGTATGGTGATTCACTTAATTAACAATTTTTATTCCGTTGACAGCCTCCTCTCCGCAATTGTATTGGGTTCACAAAGATCTGAAGGCGCAAGTGCAACAGGTCCAGGGGTAAACAATATGTATAAAGCGTTGGCCAAATTGAATTGAGTCATTCTACTTTGAATATGAAGATTTTTGCTTAATTGCTTTGGTTCGTGATGCAACTATGTTATGTTTGAAGGTAGACCAACGCAAACAACAGCACAGCTCCAGGGCTATTCTGCACATTAGGTAGTTGGGGCATTAATTGATAATTATTTGGGATTATTCCTCCAAGTACATAATTTGGAACGTGCCATTATATCGCATTGATTAATAGTTGTTTGAGATTTTTCAAATGAGTGATTTGACATGTTAAACTCTCTTATTTTTGAAAATGGAGTCTTCGAAGTGGAATATGAAGATTTTGGATTAAGCTTGGTTTCGTAACGCCCTTATGGGTGTTTATTCTCTAAAATGCAGCTGTCTTTCAAAGTGCCCGTTGCAAATGGCAAGTCAGGATACAACGATGGTACCGGTACACGTTTATATCATTAGTAGGTAGCAGATTGTGTCCATTCTACTATATCATTTAGCTAAATACTTAGTTGTTCTTTTCAACTAAAAATTATGCTTAAATGCTGTGATTGGCCTCAGAAATGTATGTCTTTGCATTAACTGTTAATGATTGTGAGTTTTGGTTTAATGGTGAAAAGTCCATTTATTTAGAAGTCTAAATTGGGCAAACCTATTGGACAATAGGAATGACATACATTAGTGTCGTGGGAGGTTTGTTTGATGTCTCAAGGTGTTAGATTTTTAAGAAGGTTGTTTGTTGTGGCAGAGAGTCCCTAAAGCTAGCGAGGTATTCCTATGTGGGCTTTTTCTTTGTTTGACCTTTTCTCGCCTTTTTTTTTATCTCTTTTTCTATTTTTGGTTTTTGTGTGCTACCTTCAGTTGCTACGTCTTCATTTGTGAGCCATCTATACTTTTCTTATTCAGTGCCTAAAAATCATATATACTCGATTGCATAGTAGTTGCTAATAGATACATTTATACCAATAGAGAGATTTTAAGTTTTATCAGCTGTTAGTTTTAATATTTACTTACATTGGTTGTTTATGTAGTTTTCTTTGTAATATTTCTCATTATACAACTAATTACTATGCCTACGTAGTTGTATAAGTGGGGGTTGGACATGATAGTTCTTAGAAGCATCAATACTTGAAGGTTATTATAATGACCAAATTCTAAAGTTATGGTTTGCCTTCAACTTGCTTGGAGCATTTCAATTATGCATCAATTGTTCTCTCCGTGTAGTTAACTCTCAGACAAATCGAAAATCTTGCTGATATGTGCTTGATTGTAGTTAAATTTAGGGTTCTACTGCATTGTTGCTTTACTCTTTTTTCGTGGTTGAGTCTGCTTCAAAAAATTTAGTTTGATTTTAGAAAATTTTGCTTCTGCAGTCCTGTCTTGCCACCAACGCGTTCAATAGATGGAGACGGGAGAGGCGAAGGCTATTTTTGTATTGTTGTTGCTGGTTTAGGGATCGGTTTGTGAAGAAGAGGGAGAAGAGAGGGGGAAAGGGAAATGCAGGAGAGGGGGATAACTCTTTTCTCCGACAAAAATGGAGTGAAGAAAGGAATTATGATCAGTAAGAATATGGTTATCTTACATAACGGTCGCTATTCTGTTTGAATTGGGCTTGAGAGGCAGTGATAAGGACGAGCTGCAACCAATTCATAGTGAGAAGAGAGCTATGAACTGTGATCATGTCTTATTTCAAGTTAGAAGGTAGTTTCAGTATAAGGATTATTTAATTTGACAACTTGTTTCGTCCATGATTCTTGGTAGTTTCAGTGCCATTCTAGCCAATGTTTAGTCTGTAATTTTTGAGAATTGATGTGCGAGTAATGACTTTCACTTAGCTTCAACTATTATGTGTGTATTTATTGGCATGTGATAGAATTTTCTTTTCCTTTTCATTGAATTCATTTTCATACTCTAATTGTATTATTTGTACATAGGCAAATCATGCTCGAGATGGCAACTCGATGATATGGCTGGTGCAAGGAATGAAGCCATCATTAGAATTCAGACCGACAACGGGGAGTGATGCCTAGGACTAATTCAATGATGATTGATGATGATATAATAAAAACTGCAGTCTGCATCAGCACCAATTTCTAGGCCTAAGTAAAGGTATTCAACCCAGAACTCTGCTTAGCGCTAAAAATTGCCCTCACCCAACCTTGATCCTGTTTGACCCACTTCTGAAGAGTCAAGATATATGACTAATCCTCCCTGTTCGTATTTTCTTATTGACTCTTTCTGACCCTGTAGGTTGGGGCGGGTCGGGAAGAATTGAATTAGTGGGTCGGTCCTAATCAAGTAGAATCCCAATCCCTTCACTCTCACTTGCTTTCTCTCCCATTCCACAAGTGAGTAACATACAGTAATCCGGCCAACGGACCGGGTAATAAGCTAGTAGTAAATAGAAAACAAAATAGGGGGGAAAGAGTGTCGGTGGTGGGGCCCACCCTCGCCGCAAATTAGCAGGAGCCAGGAGGAGAGCTTATACTCCACGATTGGAATTTCTTGTGTTTATTTGAAATTTTGTTCTTGAGAAAAGAAATGAAAATAGGAAAAAGAAGAGGGTTTTCCTTCTCAAGTTCTAGGTTTTTTTTTCTTAGGTTAATTGTTTTAAGTTTTTGTTAGTAGGATGCAAATTCATCCCAATGTTTGGTAACATAGCTGAAACTCCAAAGTGATGTTGCGAAAGTGATGTGTTGATTGTTTGTTTGCAGCGCTATGGTCACAATTCACCGGAATGCATTGAAGTCACTCACATAGAATGGGCATATTGATTTGGAAAAAAAGTTTGTTTGGGAATCGAGATACAATGCAAGTTCCAAAGTGG